GTCCAGAATCGAGGAACTTGTGGAGCGCGTGCAAGCCTTAGAGGATCGAGTTACCAATATCACTCCCGAGCCCACCGCTCAAGGCGAACCTACACATAATGACGAGCCTCGGGAGACTACTTTGTCGTTCGATGAAAAGCTCGACCTCATCCTTGCTCGCATATCTGCCCTGACCATTCGAGATGTGGACATTGAGCTCGGGTGTGCTCGACTGAGCACACAAATGGAGATTCTTGCAGCACATACCAGCTCAATCGAGGCAGAAGTTAACGTCCCTCAACCTATGCTTGATACTCAAGCCCGCACGATGAAGCAAATGTGGGAGGCCGAAGAAGAAGAGGATGAGCTCAAGCGAGTCACTGGTGATATTTCAGAGGAAGAGATCTATGGGCTTGATTCTCAAGTCCCACCTCCCACTTTCGAGTTAGAGCACTTGTCTCCGAGGCCCTTGCACCGTGTTACAAAGTTGGTGGGATTTAGTTCAACTTGCTCCACAGATGAGCTCATACTTTCAGAGGTTGACGACAAAGCTTATGTGGGAAAAGCTCTACGTTTTGAGTTGGGCATTGCTCGGGCCCGAACCCGTTTCCTTCAGAATATAGCCACCCGAACCCACTATGCCCGCCTTCTGGCCTTGGTGCCAGCACTGCCACTTCTCGAGAATACAAAGGCGTGGCACGACCGTCACTTCTTTCTGGACCCCAGATGAGTTCTTTTTAGGTTTCGTCAAGCTAATGACGTAAAACAAGCGCTTCTTGGGAGGCAACCCAAGTGATATTTATTGCTTTCTTGTTCATTTTCTCTTATGCTTTTTCTTTTATCTTTTAATAATGGGAGGTTTGGAGTTTGTGTGGTTTTTCTCGGCAGGATATATCTATCGGGGATTGGAGCATGGGCGAAGGACTTGCATTGGGATGCTTATTCTCCTCGAGGAATATTCGGTTTGCACACTCTTTTCTTATTTTCTCTTTTTGAGTTCTTTCTTTTTTTGTCTTTTTTTTTGAGTTTGTGTCTTGTGTTAGCTGCTAGTTTGGTTCATTATATGAATATGCTAGGTCCTGTTATGTGACTTCCGGTTTTGTGTTGAAGCAATGAGGTCATTGCCTCATTCTAAGTGTGGGGGAGTCGATTTGGATTTTGCATGCTTATGTGGTGGACCGGTCTAGTTTTAGGATTTTGTGTTGTTGAGCATGTGATATTGGTGGATAGTATGAATTGTTGATGAATGTTTGATGATAT